GATGAAATACTTTCTTGATGGTTTTTTAACCACAGGCAGCAGAACCAAAGCAAGTCTGCCCAGAATATATCTTGACAGTTACAGTAGTAGCCAGGTTGATCTGATTTACTACAGATATTTACAGTTGTTCTAGAACGATTCTGATCAGCTAACAGATTATCCTGATATTTAATTAGTATTCATAGTCTCCACAGGGTAAAATCCCCCCACCCTAAAGTTAACATGTCAAATTTGCATGCAGGATGTTTCCTAATTTCATGGGCAAACTGCCATAACCTAAACTGAGCATTTCCCTTCACTTTAGGGGGATACACCATTTGAATTACCTTTTCCTGTTGCACCCCCCGCATTGTCTGCTTTATTGCAAGTTACACCCTCGAGGCAGTTGCTTTAAGCTGTAGTCCTTTTAACAGACATACCCCTTAGTATTTAGGTTTCTATTCTAATTTTGCAACAGAAATTACGTTATTTAGAGAGTACAACTATTGAATACTTGTAGTGAAATTATACTGGGATTACCAACAGAATACGCACCGTTTGCTGTGCATAATGCAATGAAGAAAGCATGATGAAAATGTTTCATCACTTAGCTAGGGTTAAAGAAATGCATTATTACTTTAATAAAGTCGTACTGAAATCACAATCTTTCCTTGAGCCTGATAAGTGAGATCTAGTGATCGAGATGATTTAATACTGAACTTTAAGTTATGTGGTTCTTAATTGATTTATAAAACAGTGAGAGAAATACGTATTTTTTTCGGTGTAATTCTTACAAAAAAGATATAATTTCATTTGCAATCAACATTTAAAACGGGAGATAAAGGATCTTGAGTGCAGAATTATTAATCATATATACAGAGAGACCTTTTTCAAAAGTATGTCCTAGTAGGACCATGTTCTGCACCACTTTTCTGTCATCCAGTTAGATTAATGTCAAAGAGTCCTGGAAGATAATCTGGTTTGAATGGCAGTTAATGTGCTGAAGGAGGACGTCCTCCGCTCCGTGAGGACTGTCTGCGGTCTGGGCCGGCAGCCAGAGCTCCACAGAGAGAGAGGGCAGGCAGGCTGCAGTCTGTCGGCTTCATGGTTAGAAAGTCAAAACAGATTCCAGCCTTTGAACAACCACATGTCTCCTCTCATCTGTCCACTGTACCTGTCAGAGGGATTCCTGAAGCGTCTGTAGAACATACTGTCATAAATGTTTAAAAATAAATTACCCTTAAGGAAGATTGTCTGCTGATCACCTGGCAATACATTTCTGTGTCTAAAGGAGGTTTTCTGTACATGTTTTTGTAGTAATATAACTAAATGAAGACATTTTATAGCTCTGAGTCTGGCAGGAAGTGTTGTTATCATTGCTCTGGAGAGACAGATACTGATTTGTGTATCCTGACAAAACAATGTCTTTGATAAGACTTCCCTCTTGAGATTATGCTTTCTACCTCTGTAACCGCGGTGTTGTGGGGCTTATCTTTGTGTGCTGCTAATTTTTACAATTCCTTTGAATACAATCCACATTGTTTGTAAGATGATATGTGTTTTGGGGGAAACAGATGAACAAGAGATTTATTTCTCTAAGGAATTCCCTGTAGCCTCGAAATAGCCCCTGTGATGCTCGCTTCATTATCAGCGCTGACTCACTAACTGTGATGTACAGGATATGTGCATGTGTGTATATGCAAGTGACCCAGATTGAATTAGCTTCATAAATCAAAGCCGAATATCCTTTAAACTGCAATGATTCTGTATATGTTGACTGTGTGATTTAAGTGCGGTTCCTGTATGGGGTCTTCTCTCTCGGTGGTGTGGGAATCCTTTCATTATGTATTCTGGTGAAGTTATTCAACTTTTTTTCAAGCGACTTTGGAAACAACACTATATCCTAAATGTGCTTTCACAACTTCACCAAAGTTGCTGTAATACTTTTACTGACTAAAGCATTCAAACCTCTAAAGTCACTTTTAAAGGAGCAGTTCAACTTTTTGGGAAATTCGCTTATCCCATTTCTTCAGAGAGTAGCACGAGAAGATCAATACCACTTTAAACGTAATTGGCTTACTTTAGCACAAAGATTGAAAATAACAGGAACGGCCAGCCTGGCTCTGTCCACAGGCAACCAAAGGCACTTACAATCACTTTCAAAGTTTAATGATTGAAAATTCATTTCTTTGTTAAATTGCCTCCAGTCTTTAGGCTAGGCTAATCGCTCTGGCTCCATATTCATCCATAATAACATGGATCTTCTCGGCTGCACATTCACATACAAGGAAATCTTCTAAGTGATTTGTTTATGAAAGCTGAAATGATAAGTGTTTTTGAAGTAACTATGCCAAACATTAATGTATTCCAGCTTCTTATTTATTTCAACGTATTTCTGTTGTCTTTCTGGGTGTTTGTGATACAGTAGAAGTATAAACTAGAGTGTTGGGTTTTGCACTTTTTGTCAGACTTGTGTTTAACTGAATAATTTGTATTGTTTAGTTATTTTCTTATATTACAATTGCATGACGTCGCAGGTTGCCACAGTGTTGCTCTTCCCATATGTTTTAAACTCCTCTCCACACATTCCCCTCTTTCTGACTCAGCATGTGAAATAGTTTTCTCGTGGGTCAATCCCACACTCTCCAGGGGAAAGCAAATTGTTTGCTGAGCGGAGCCCATTAAACTTAAAAGGCCCAGCTCTCACAGCGTGTCGCTGTCCGATGCTCAGCTTTATTCCGTCATACTGATTTAGGAGCATTATGAAATGTGTGTGGACTCCAATATCTGCCCTCTTCTCATCGCAGAGCATCGATCCGAGGCCTTTGAGTCCGAGCCGCTCTGATTGATGCACTGTGATGTGAATGCTGGTCAAATTACTAATAAGATATGATTGAGATTCCCATGAGAAAACAGACTCCCGCTGTCAGACAGGAAGGGGAAAGAGTTTGTGAAATAATCGGTGTGATGCCAACTAGAATCAGAAATTGCTTGAATCCCACTTCTCTAAGTCCTCAGGTGGGGGAGGGGATGCTGCGAGTGAGTCAGCATTGTCCTTTCAACGCTAATGGCCAGGAAATGTCTATGTTGGAGCGACTAATTGGATTTCTTTAACAGGAAAGCATCCGTCCAGCTCCATTAGCCGGTGCTAAACGTAACGCTGCAGAGGGAGAGGCAGGTGGGAGAGAAAAGGGGGTTTGGAATGTTGACGGAGGGAGGAAGAGTTTGAAAAGAAGGGGGAGGCATGTTGTTGATGCAAACAGAGAGGGATGCAGTAGATGTTTGTTATGCAGGTGAAGAAGAAATGAAAGGCCAGGAGTGGAGCAGGGATGTCTGCTGGATAATAAACTCATCAGCAGGAAGCTCTGGTGTTATCGTAATTCACTTTAATGCAAAACTTCGCATCTGATTGCTGTTTCTGGTAGTGTCTTTGGTTACCGGACACAGTATCATAGTGCACTAAATACACATTCATGTAGTCTTTTTCACTTGTTTCACTGATGCACACTTATGGTTGAAAATCGCTAATTTGTGTTTTTGAAATTCATTTAGACTAATAAACTAATGCTGTTTTGCCTGACCAGTGGCCATATTTGACAGTCATTATTATGGTAAACCCTAAAACGTAGTGTAACAGGAGGAAAGAAGTAGCAATTTTATGAATGAATGTGTCTTTCAAAAAGAAAGGGCTCTTTTTTCTTTCCAAATCTAATTTCAACTCACTAGCTTTTTCCAGAGCTTCCCACCAAATCTCACTTCTTCTTCCTTATGAAGACAAGATAACGCTGTAGAAATCTTAGTCTTGGATATCACGAGGTGAACTTCCAACATAATTTCATCCGAAAGATATCTTGTGTATTTATTGCGTATCGTCTGTTGTGCTTCTTGAGGTTAACATGAACCAGTAAAAAGGCGGGACACAGATGGGCCACGATTTACATTCCTCTGAGCAGCTCTCGACATAAACTCATAGAAAAGCTACATTCAGCAACACAATGCACAGACAGTCAGGAAGAGCTAAATCAAACCTGGCAGCCTCGTCACCTCAGGGCGAACGCTCCCATTGGCATCTCGTACTTCTACTGACACGCTGCGATGTAAAGTGTAATTGGGGGACCCTCCTATAGACTATGGGGATGGTTAGAGACCCTGGAAGGGGAAAACCACTCGTTCTTCAGAGACGGATCATGGAGGAACAGTGGGGCTACTATGCTGCCTGTAAATTGAGCCTTTCTTCCTGTGAGAGGGTGCCATGGTGGAATGCAGCACATTAATGTGGACATGGGTGGGCTTCTCATTCCTGTCATAGCATCCCACTCTTCCATGTGACCCTCCATGACTTTCTCCTCTCGTCTTTTTGTCTCCATGCCTCAACATTGCGGGAATGCAGAAGTTAGTTTCTTCAACAAAATTCTGGTTAATCCTCTGTCACAGCTTCTCACCTCGAAGGTTCGGTTGTATCGCAGTCCCATCCATTTTGGGTTCATTTAAATAAAGCAATGTTGTCTTAAATGTTCTGATCTTCATTACCTAATTGGTCCACCAGAGAATACTTAAAGAATCCTTATCAGAAGTGTTAGTTACTGCTGTAAAATTCCTCAAATTAATAATCGTAATGGACACAAATGGGATACTGCCAACACACTTTCCACATCTTTTTTTATCTGTTTAAGGTTTGACCGTCACTCTTTTATTTGATGGATTTCGGAGGATTGACAGTTACCAACTCCGCTTTCAATCAGACAAACCCCGCTCCTTTTAGAGGTTTTGAAACTAAAGTAGCAATTTCGTTATAACACAAAATATATTTGCTTAAAAAACATTAAAAAAATGTACTTGGACATGATTTTTGGCTGCAAAAGGGTTCAAAATGAATTGAGGAATACAACATTTAAGAGACAAAAGGAGTAAAATGACACACCTTTTCTTTATTTTCGTGCAAATATTGAGGTTGATGGTGATATCACTGAATATGTTGAATTATTACTCAACCACAACCATATTTTCTTTCTATTTTTCAGCGTGGGCTAATGTGGAAGTGAACATGGAGGACAGAGTGGAGGTGTACAGGGGAGAAAAGGCTCGGATCACCTGCATGTTCACATCGTCTGACGGTGTCGGCGGCAACATGATTCAGTGGTTCTACGTGAGTTTCATCAAGCCTGGTGCACGCTTACACAGAGAGGTGTGATGTGTCCATGAAGGCCATGTTTCATGTGTTTGTACTCTGACCTTTAGGTGACACGGACGGGTGAGAAGCAGAAAATCTACTACCAGGACAGCACCATGAAGGTTGTGGACAAAGGCACGCCGTTCACAGACCGGATCAGTGTGAACGGTACCGGAGCCGACGGAGTGATCGTGTTGACGATCAGCAACGTGCAGCTGGACGATGAACTGGAGTTTATCTGTGTCATCAAAGCTCTGACGGATGGGACTGGGGAGGGACGCACAAAGCTGAAGGTGTTCGGTAAGATTCAATCTGACATGGCCTGTTTTTTCTAATGGTTTGAATAACAAGGGAGAAAATGGCAAACATTACAAAGCCCACACCTTGAAGGCAGTGCTAATAACACCAGATTTGAAATGAATAATAAATGACCCCTTGAAGAATGTGTCGTACAACATGTGGTGTTTAGTGTGCTCCCTTCGGCTACTTGTGAACCAGTTTTGAACTTTTTCAACTCTTTCAACAACTTCATATTCATAACTCGTTCATCACATCTTATCTCATCTTTTCTTCAGAAACGTTATTTCGATATTCTGACCATTAAACTTTATCATATTAATTCAGCATTTTTCTATACCTCAGATAGTTTATGTTTAAAAAAGTAAAATTGTGATCGTTCCAGAACTTTTTCCAAATTCAACTCAAATAAATATTCAAACTCGTTTCACTCCCACTCACTGTTCACGCTGGATGCATAATTTATTGCAAAATGTCACATTTTTGACGTTTCAAATTCTTTCATCCTGTTCTCTTGAATGAAAGTTCAAATGCTTTATTGAAATAACTTCCCCAAACAGCTCATCATTTTTCAGCACTTTTCACTTTAGCCAATAACCTGTCACTGACACCTCAACTCAACAGACAACAACAACAGACACTGAAACTACAAATGATCAGCTGCCCAAACATAAACCTTTTTTTGTTGGAAATGTTGCCTTTTCTGGTTCTTAATTCATTTCTTAATTCCTATGCAGAAACACCAGGTAGTCCCACTATCGAGGGTGTGCAAACAGGGATCTCCGTCCAAGAAGAAAACCCATCCAAGGTAACAAAGCTTTGAATGGTGAACATCAGAGTATAAACATGATGAAATGAAGCTACAATTTTATACTTTTAATTTTGCCTTCTCTTATTCTCTCTCCTCTCCTATAGATTGGAACCTGTGAGGTCAAAAATGGCTACCCCAAGCCGAACATCACGTGGTACAGAAACAAAACGCCCATACGCGCTGCTCAGGATGGTGAGACAGATCATATCAACATCTGGAATGCATTTCAACACTGATTTAGTTTGAGCTTAATGTGGTTCAATGCATTTGCTCCATTTCCTTATCTTCCCTCGTGTGTTTGCAAATGTTTCTGTGTCCTCCAGTGGTGAAGGTGGTGCCGACCATCACCACTAAGTCCAGTGGCCTGTACTCGGTTAGGAGCGAGCTGAGCATGAAGGTGAAGAAGGAGGACAAAGATGACGTGTTCTACTGCGAGGTCACCTACTTTTCTCCCGAAGGATTAAGGATGACCGAGACCAGCCCCATTAACATCACTGTGTTCTGTGAGTTCCACACATAGTTTAACAGCAGCATCGTTCCTTTCAATGAGAGACAATCACAGCTGTAGAAACCAACGGAGCCATTTTGACCGCTGGTATGAAACAGTATGTCATCAATCTATGTGGACACAAGAGTACTATACGGTATTTGTCATCAGTTCCATTATTATGCTGATATATAAGCCTCCACTTGGAAGCACACCATTGTCTAAAATATCGTTTTATGTTCTATCATTAACAGTGCTTATGCCAAATACACTTCATATGGGATGGATGCTGAACAAAGCAAAATAATATATTTATATATGTATTCACAACTTTCACTAATTATAGTTCCAGTTTGATATGAAACACCATTTTATTTATATATATATATATATATATATATATATATATATATATATATATATATATATATATATATATATATATATATATAAATATATATATATATATATATATATTAAGTGGGGTCCCTGCTCCATTTGTCTTTCAGATAAGGGGTCCTTTCCCCCAAGGACGTTTAGTTCAGGAGCGGTTGTGGCCGTCACATAATCCATCCACAACTCAAAGTTTAGGTTGGTGGTCTAACCTATAATTCCTCTCTGTGTTTCAGACCCCTCCACAGCTGTCAGTGTTTGGGTGGAGTCACCAAAGGGTGAAATCAAGGAAGGGGACTCCATTGAACTTCACTGCCATGATGACGGGAATAAGCCATCCTCACTCATATCAATCTCACATGAAGTAAGAACATCTACATTGTGCTCTTTATTTATGCACATGGAAAGACAGCATTATTGTTAATACAACTTACTTATCTACTATGTGATCTTTCTGATCACTATCCTCCTCAGCAGAAAGAGTTATTGACGTCGAAATGTAAAAGTTATGTGTTGATCAAATTCCCTTGACTTTTTTAGGATGGTGATTCTTGGGACAACAAAATGGTGGTGCTGGGAAATGTGTCCCGTCTGAACAGTGGAGTTTATACATGTACCTCTACGGACACGGACGCCTGGGACACGGTCTCAGGAAACACCACTGTGTTTGTCAACTGTAAGGAACCTGCATATATATGATTAGTGACTATGATATTCATTACATTTTACCAGCAGAATGAGTGCATGCAACAGGTTTGATATTTTCTCTCTCTCCCTGCTTTGTGTGTAGATCTGGATCCAGCTGTCGTGATACCTAAGGATGATGTGGAGGTGTCCCAGGGAGAGGAGCTGACGGCCACCTGTAACGCCCTCTCTTCTCTCCAGACACACACAGTCTGGTTTAAGGTCACTGACACACAGCAGTACAGTAACAGTACACTAAAAGCCACAACATTATTGTCCTATACAATAACTAACACTCAAATGAAAGAAATAGCATTTAGAAAACCCATCAGACTAGTGTTGCTTTGTGTCATCAGGTACTATGTTTATTGTTGAACAGATTAATATTGGGATGAGACTACACTTTTATTTTTGTTTTGAGAATGTAATAGTGTCAGATAAGGTGATCAAAGAGGGAAAGGATTTTTTGAATAGTTTTCTTCATAACCTTGTGTAAACAGATTGTTGAAGCAGCCGTCTGATCTACTAAGACCCCCGTTTCTGTATGTTTATGTGTGTGTTTGTGTGTAGGATGGAGTGAAGGTTTCAATGGGCCACAGTTTGGACCTGAAGGATGCTACGTTTGACACAGCAGGGATGTACAAGTGCGTGGTGACTGTTCCTGAGTTCGAAGGAATGGAAACCAGCGGGACACTTAATGTTAACGTCAATGGTAATCCGGTTACTGATACTAAATTATAATTGAGTCTCTAATCAATATGTTTTCCAAAATATTTGAGGTTTTGAACTTTAAAGTGGACCTATCATGCTATATTTGAATAATATAGTGTAGGACCATACCTATATAAGGCATATTTATACTTTTTCTTTTTCAAAATACCAAACAGATCATGCATTTTAGCCATGCCTCATTTTGCTCAATTTGACATTTTTTAGCTCTGTTTTTGCAAGGGCAGATTATGTGAGAACAGCACCATCTACAGGCCTGGCATATGTACTACAGCGTCTCCAGCGCTTTCGAACGGCAATGGCCGTGGCTGTCTCCTCCTGATTGGTGGAGTTGGCCCAATAGCCGTAGCGCCACCGTCCTGACGTCAGGACAGTGTTCAAATCTGGATCAGTTTTGATTAGATCCGTTGCAGCCCCTTTTTTAGAGATTTGCGTATGGAGGAAAATAGAGAGGGTTGTGTTTTCTGACACTTGCTGAGTTCCCTGGAACACCGGGGACACATATTCATGTATAAAAGACATACAAAAGTGCATTTTGTATGATAGGTCCCCTTTAACTAAGTTGTTATTTCTTGCTCTTATCCTTGCAGGCCCACCACAGATCATAGCGCCAGAGTTCACAGAGTTCGAGAAGAGTTTTGAGGCTATGGTGAACCTGAGCTGTGATGTCAGAGGTTACCCTGCTCCCACTGTCATCTGGTCCACCTCTGACGGAAAGGTATTACAGTGCAATGCATGAACACATAACGAAAGTAGCTGATATGTAAAAACAACGAGAGAATATAAAAGCAGTGCCAGAAATAAGTAAGTGATGTTTACTAGTGATTGTAGGTTTGATTTGCTTGATATTTTTTAAAGGTTGTATAATTAGTGCTCTATCTTGAGTCAATAAGGAGACAATTGAAGTTGTAGGTGGATCTAATTGTAAATGTGACCTGTGCAGAAGAAAGGGAAACCTTTGTGTTAACTGTTTTGCGCTTTTGTGCCAGACTTTTCTTCCAGAATCGAAAACGGATACAGACGGCGTCGTTCAGAGTGTGGTCAGCATCAAGGTCACCTCTGACTTTACAGCTTTCTGTAACGCCTCCAACGATTTCGGCACGGACGCCGTGTCCTTCAACATCACAGCCAGTGAGTTCCTCCTGCTGCTTGGGTTTCATGCTCTGTGTTTTTTTGTGTACGTCTACATATATATGTATATGTGTTGTTCCATTGTCTTGCCCCCTGTCTTTCTGTTCCTCCCCTTGTTGTCGGTGTTACTTCTTTTTTTTTTTTTTTACTTCGTTGTTTTCAGCTAAACACACTCCCACACCAGACACCACCACTACTAGCACTGCCATTCCCACAGGTAAGACACAGTGACTTTGCCCTGTCGGCCCCCAACCAGTCCACTCAAATCAACTAGAAAAAGTTTAGAAATGAGTCTATCCAAAACAATCCATTAAGAAGGACTGACTGAGAGTGAGAGTGATGCTTCAGCTGTCAGTAAAGTTCATTATTTTCATGTTCAGTGATCCATCCTTTACTTCAAGGTCCGGCTGGGCTGATGTGAGTTAATCAAAAAGAATGAAAGCTAGAAAAGGAAATCTTAAAAGCTGCAGAAATTATATCTGAAGGTCACTAAAGCTGTGTCTGTAACGAAAAAGAACTGTGATTTCCACAAGGTTTTTATAGTTTCTAAAGGGTGATATTGTTGTCATTGCTCCAAGGTGCTTGTAAGGGTATTATGTAATGAATCTTATGTTGCTTATATATGGTCTTTTTTAATCTAAGTTTTACACATTTTGTAAAAATGAGGGGGTATTTAATTTTATGCCATAAAAGTAATCAACTAAAGCAGATAAAATCATAGTTTACCTTCTGCATACAGCAGTGTTATGACTATTGCATCTTTGTCAGCATAATGTTGTTATACACATCACACAAACACACACATGCATCAGTGTGACTCTAGGAAGCAGCTGATGCTTTAAATGCACTCAGAGAGAGTCTCCTGACTCCCATTACGGGTACCGCCTTGTGTTTACTCTCCTCCTCCTGCCTCCTCTCTCTCTCTTACATTATGCCAGGAAATATCCAGCCCCTCAGAGGAAAACTGTTCTTGGTTGTTGTTTCTGGCAAAGCGCTGGTTAAATTAGATCAACCAGGGCTGGCCGGGGAAATGACTGAAGTGCTGCTGACCACATAGATGTTTAGGTGTGTGTGTGTGTGTGTGTGTGTGTGTGTGTGTGTGTGTGTGTGTGTGTGTGTGTGTGTGTGTGTGTGTGTGTGTGTGTGTGTGTGTGTGTGTGTGTGTGTGTGTGTGTGTGTGATGTGTGTGTGTGTGTGTGTGTGTGTGTGTGTGTGTGTGTGTGTGTGTGTGTGTGTGTGTGTGTGATGTGTGTGTGTGTGTGTGTGTGTGTGTGTTGTGTGTGTGTGTGTGTGTGTGTGGTTTGTGTGTGTGTGTGTGTGTGTGTGTGTGTGTGTGTGTGTGTGTGTGTTGTGTGTGTGTGTGTGTGTGTGTGTGTGTGTGTGTGTGTGTGTGTGTGTGTGTGTGTGTGTGTGTGTGTGTGTGTGTGTGTGTGGCCTGCTGATATGAGTTATTTATGACATCCACCCACCCACTGATAATTATGCTCATGTGGTTTTTCTCAGTCGAACCTGAACAAGCTATCCCTGAACCAGCTATCACTGAACAAGCTATCCCTGAACCAGCTATCCCTCCAAAGAGAATCAAGAAAGGTTTGTATGTTATGGTACTGAGGACTCTCCCCCTCACCTCTCCATCTCAAAGAGCTTCCCTCCATTTCTCCTCCGCAGCACCTCCCTCTCTCGCACCTCCCAGCATTCATCAGACCCTGTCCTGCTGGGCAAAGCATCAAACTATATTTGAGTTGTTTATCTTCACCTCCAGCTGTGCATGTTATCATTTATAAGCGCACCTCTCTTTCTACACTCCTGAATGATTTCCTTTCTTTGGGTTGCCAGGTTGAGGTCTCCTGAATGAAGCTAGTGCTGCACTCTCTTTTCGACACACTGTACTGCTATCTACTGTTCCTGCACAGCCTGATGCAATCCTGAATCCAACCTTTCTGCGTCATTCCATCATTTTATTCATAATCCAGTGGCAGTTAGTAACCCTGTGTTTGTTGTTGTGCTTCTTCTCCACCAGAGGGCAGTGGTGTTATCATTGCAGTCATCATAATCTGCATCCTGCTGCTGGCCATCTTGGGTAGTGTGCTCTACTTCCTCTACAAAAAGGGCAAGATCTGCGGCCGGTCTGGCAAGCAAGACCTGTGAGTAAAACACGACACGCCGTCACACATTTTAGTATCCAGCATTATACATTTTAAAAGTATCTAGATCAATCTCTGAACTCATATGAATGTTATTTAAGGTGCCAACTAAAGATGTTTGGCCAGAGGACAGACAAGGCCAAAGTTTAAGTTCTGCTGGTTTCAAGAAAGTCTGAACCCTACTTGGCATTACATCAGATATCAAATAAATAGCAAATACAGGAATACTGATAAAAAGACTTGGATCGTAGTTTTATTTCAAACTTACACAATTGAACATGATTACAAGAAGCATGTGATTATTCTTGCTATATAGTTAACACACACGAAGCTGCTGCAATATAAATGTTTACAAAATCAATAGATTACATGTTATATGAAAGAACCACTGGTAAGGATCACCAAACCATACACAGACACTGACAACCTGAGAAACTTAGTGCAGCGTTTTGTAGCTCTGAGCAGGATTTCCCCCCTAGGAGTTGGTTAAAGCCAAAAGTAAAGTGAACATAAGACTTATGTTTCTCAGGAGGACACCATCTCGACACAAAATGAAGGATAATGTTGTTCCTTTGCTGCTGGATGATTAAATAAGCAACTGTTTCTCTGACAAGTTCACCACCTACTTGAAATTTGATTGAATGTTTGTACTACTCTTCTACGCTGTAAAGCATTATTTGTGTACCTTAATGTTAAGAAAGAACTCAAGAGTTGTTTGTTCCTGCAGCACCAAAGAGGTGTCCAGCAAAGATAACATCGTGGTGGAGATGAAGAGCGACAACACGGAGGAAGCTGTGCTCCTCGGGGTCAACGGAGAAAAGCAGCTTCAAAACAACTAGGTAGATATTAAAGTGTTCTTTGATGATGCTGTTTTTTTTTTTTATGTGATAGAACCATTAACATATCCTCTCTCCCTCTGCCCTTTTTGTGTGTCTTCCCCTTGCAGTGAGGAGCGTACCTGGATGAACAGAAGTGAGGAGGCGACTCCGGACACACACAGCTGCTCCAGTTCCTGCCTCTCAGGCTCAGAACGGCCAATGCTTCCCCCACAGCCCCTTATTAGTCGTCATGGTAAAGCTCAGTCGCCTGCTAGTATAAATGATCACGATGCACGACTGAGACTCAGATTTTCTCCGAACTGCAACTTTAGCTTGACTGTCCTTTTATCCAGCACATTTCCTCTAGAATAAGCTTTAATGAGAAGCGATTTGATCCCACCATGACAAAACACAATTTCTAAAATGACACCAAGAACTATCCTAAGCCTATAGTTCGTATTACCACAAGCGTTGTATATTGCTGATTGTCCGTAGAACAAGATTTGGAGCACAACATTGACCATTGACTGTTTTTATATCCAACTAGGCATCACCTCAGGCAAAGTAATCACTGAAGAGCAGCGAAACAGGTCTTTAACAAGTGTACATATTATAATCTATGTATATATTTCTTTATTTAAAATGACAATATAGAGAAAAACAACCAAAAATAAATTACCAGATAGTGTTTTATTTTGTTTGGGTGCTGTTTGTGGAGAGAAAGAAAGCTTAGGTTAGATGTTTTGTTTTTATTTTTGACTATTTCTTTTTTTGTCTGTTTCCTGTCGCTTAAGTCTGTACACTGAATTTGATGGCGATGCAATGATGCGTCCGCCTGCAGCCAGTTACAGCCTCACAACGTTTTTCCTTTTATCTCTGAAAAAAACCTTTTAGGTCATTTCATTTTATCACACATCATTCACATTTGTTGTCAGCTAACACACCCCAGTTTTAGTATTTTTAAAAAGAAGATATTTTTGTGAGACGGGTGCTTCATTTAGTCTGTTTTTAGACCTAGAAGGGTTAACATTATTTGTAGTTTTATGTTTTCTTTCCTTCAGTTTAGTTTTGTTATTTTCTGTGTTGAATCATTACCAACAGCCAAGTTGAAAGTTACAGATGCCTTAGAAATTCAACCAAAGCCTTGTAGGAATATAATTAGTATTGTTAGTTTTATTTAATGTTCAGTGCACTGATTTCTTTGTGTTTATTTTTCATGCAGTCGTGTTTCCCGAATGTGAAACAGTGGTTTTGTTTAGTGTGACTATAGGTGAATGAAAAGTATTTCTGTTGCTAGTTATTTTTTTCAGTAAGGATGAGGGTCGAACAGATTTTTGGTCCATATATATGGTTCACAGCATGAAGTTGCCGTCATTAGGAAAATACACGTTTCTGTTTAATTAATTCATTTATTGACTGAAACTTGAAATAATTAGTTGGCTTCCTAAGAGACACAGACCCCCCTCAGATATGACGACTATAGCACAGTATATGACTTTCAGAGGAGGGGATAATGACTGTGACTCCACATATGCAAACTAAGTTTGCAGACAATCAAACGCACTGTTTGGTAATGTGCGGGTATCGTCCATACTTACCCTCCCTACCACCTGTTGGTCTGTTTTGTTCTGCTGTTTTTTTTAAGAACTACCACTGTTACATTGTTTTGGGTGTTAGAATTCTGTTAAATGCCTTTTTAATGCCTTGGAGTTCTGAAATGTAAAATGAATGTCATTGAATGACATTCAAATTCATTGTTTGTAGTTTTTGAAAATTATACCAAATAAAGATTGACTGTTAAACGAGAAGAAGAGCGTACAATGTTTCTAAGTTTGAATGTGATATATAATCAATTGCATGTAAAAGCCTTGGTTGTTAATGGTTAGCAAGACTAAGACGTGAACGTTCGTTATTTATTTAATACTTAATTAACTTCATAGGCACTTTCAACAGACAACGCATCTCTTTGTAATGAACTAATTATGTCAGTACACTTAAGAGTAAAGCAATTCAAAAGGAATATGTTGTCAGCACATCCTGTAGGTACTTTTAGTCAATGCAAAGATACACATGAATACACTTTCTATTCTGAGGAATGAGATAATGTGCTTGTTTATAAATGTGTCCAAGTTGAATGGCAACTTGTCGTTAATTGTGAGTCTTGTTTGGATGTTGTGGTCAATACCAGTAACGCTGAAGTAAACTGTATCAGTTCTGGAATTGAATCCAGAACTGAGAGCGTATTTTGTTGCTGGCTCACTTCATTAGAACTGTCATTCAAGATGTATTAGAAACCCTGGTATAACAATCCATTACAATGTCATGATATTTTTCAAATAGTCTTAGTATAGCTTTTCATAAACAAAGTTTTTCGAAGGTCATTAAAACTTGTAGTGTAGTAATAATCAAATAAAACTAATCATACCCTAGTATTTCGCAAAAATTTAATGAAATTCATAAAAATGCTCCAAAAAATATCCAATATAAATGTTTAAAAAAATCTTAACTATTTCAAAGGAAAATAGTTACATGTACAAAGACACTTTGCGAAATATAAAATGCAGGCAAAGAATGACCTTGTAGTTCTGGCAGCTACAAGCTAAACCCCTTTACTCTGCTGTACAGAAGAGAGACACGGGATAGCTTTCGCTTATAATTTTATTAACAGCACTGTGCATACTTCCAAAATGATATGAGCTTTAAAAACCATCAACAAGTTAATGAATGCCTTTTACTGATGAGAAGCGACAGGCTACATGGAACAACGGCTCCCTCTGATGGCAGAGAGAAGAAGTACCCCAACACAGGCTGAGGGTCAGGGGCTGGAACGCATCGAGCATCTCGGAAGCTGAGTACTGATCCTGGACCTGCTTTATCTTTCAGGTTGGAAAGACAAACAAACGAGACTTTTCTCAGATCAACACGTGTGCTCAAAGATGAGGCCTGATGCGGCTGACAAGGCAGAGAAGACATAATAATACAAGCAATACTGCACAACCTTCTGAGATCAACAGGTACAGATCAATATCAACACATTCTCTTCAAAAACGGACTCTCACCATGATGAGGATCTCTAAACATATGGCACTGCTCACAGAATTATTCACAGAAGTAAACAAAACCTTTGGAACAAAATACATTTACAGGAATGCAAAATGAAATAAAAACCGCAATTTTTTTCTTTTCATATAACTAACTTTATACAATAAGCTTTTTCTTTAGAGTGACAGTATCAAAGCACAAATTGGTATACTGTGCGAAAAAAAAAAAAATGGTAAATAATACAAAAACAACAATGACCTCTTCAAAGCATCTACAAAACATTGGTACAGTCTCGAGGTTTGGGGACCTCCCCGTCCATTACCCATCATTCAAGAAGTTTCTCAAGGCAACTAGGAACCAAAACAAAAGAACTAGCGGAGAACCAGAGAGAAAGATGGCTTCCAGTCAACAGACAGCATTACCCAGAAAAAGCAAGGGCTGACATTCTTCTTCATGATGGCAGAGGTTCATGTACCTAAAAGCTCCTTGCATTGGTGTATCTTGTTCATTCATAGTACCTGGAAACAAAGCTGCTGTTTCTAGTCCTGCCAACATTGAAAATAATACAAAAAATGTGCAAGTTATAGTGTAACAAAAGAAGAAGAAGAGTATTAGGCTACTTGTGTGACTTCATTGAGCGGATACATGTGGCTGTCTGTGCCTCTGAGTCTCCTGGGTGGGGGGGGGGGGCGCTGGGGTGACAGTGAACGCCAGGTGGGATAAACATTATTCCTGAGTTAGCTCTCACAGATGGCCCGAACACTGACTTGAATGTAGACTTGGGGGTGAGCCAGCAAACCCATGAGCCTACTTTAAAAAAAACAGAGAATCAGAAACTCCCACAGAGAAGAGAAATGTATGTGATAGAAGCCTGAGTCTGTTACAACAATGTCTGGTTTCTGTAGCAGAGTCTCCTTGTAGAGAATCATAAATCATTTAAAAAAAGAGGGTTTAAAACACTGAAGATTTGACCGCTTGCAGGCTCACAAGCTGCTTGTACTTTCAAGTATGCTACATTACGGACCAGAGAAACACGGGGGATACTGTCACTCTAAAGAAACAGAATGACGGTTAAACACAATATTCACAAATGTACATTTAAGGCTTAATTGTTTAGCACTAACAATAGTAGCAGCAGTGAAGCACTTCTGAATTAATTATAATAACAATATTTATGATCATATAACAATAATATATTACCAAAAGTAATTCGATGACGTTTTTTTCTTTTCTTTCTTCTCACTGGACTGAGCCGGAGACAGAACACTTTGACCAGCCAGCCAATGAAGTTAGACAAAGACAGAATGTTTCAGCCACCACGGATCACACAACACGAGCCCGTCGGTACTGCAGGGTCGTCAACATTAGCACGTCCTCTAATAATCTCAGCGCCAGGCTCTACAGCTACACCAGTTTAGGGTGAGAGCAGTAGTACGTACACTGACTGTAACACCACATTCATGTTGTTCATTTAGGAGCAGAGGAGAAGTCTGGCAGACACACACACACACACACACAGAAACATGCTCACATACACAAACTCGCACATTAGAAAAACATACCGCCAGACCATAGTCCAGACCCCAAACCATCGTCATGCTACTTTGAAAAATACAACACGACAAAACAAGCATGTTTATAAAAAAAAAAAGAAAAGTACCAAAGCAACGTTGTTTATCAAAGGCCATAACAGACTGAATCCATGATGAAGCGCTCTGCCGCACGTCTTCAAAGCTGCTGAGTGAACTCATGGTGAGGAGGTCGCCCCGACTCTTCCTCACATGAACGTCTTCCTCAGTCTGAGAAAACGGTCAAATTGAACCTGGTCCCCGTCTACCAACATCGCTTGTACCAACAGCAACCCTCAAAGCTGAAGTCATTTTTTTTTTTTTTTTTTTACATACTGTATATGCACGTACTGTATATATTACACATATTTCATATATATTTACTCATATATTACATTTTCATATAGACATACATTTTTAGTTTTATTTGTGAGGTGTTGGTTACATTTTCAGCAAGAGGCTTCAACTTGAAAGATACGAATCTGTCTTCCTGACGTCCTACGAAAAGTCTGGCGCCACGCGGCATCCCATCATTGTTCCGCACGCGCTCGGTCACCCCCCCCCCCCCACCGTAGATGTCTCGTGGAAAACGAAGAGGCCTGCAGTAGCGGTTTAGAGAAGGCCGGACACTGTTGAAAGCGCATGGAGTGCAGGGCGCTCTGGAGTAACAGCCAGTTAAAAACCCACAGGGACGTCGGGCGTCAGCACAGAGGTAGTGCTGCAGGCAACCTTTACCCAACCAGGCTGTGCCAAGCTAGGGCGAGAGAGCAAAACACGAGAAAGAGAGAGAGGCACAAAGCGTGCTATGTAAGAATATTCGCGGTGGAGGGAATAGAGACAAACTCGCGTAGGATGTTCCTAGCCATTTCGATATTGTTCTGAGCAATCATCAGTGCTTTCTGGATGTCCTGCTGAGAGTACCCCTGACTCGCAAGGAGCTCGATCTCGATGCTGATCTGAGGGTTGGCTTCTCCCCCTGCTGCCCCACCGCTGGGGGGGGCAGGGACGGGCGGGACAGGGCTGGGCCGGCGCTCAGAGTTGATTCGTCGGGGCAGGGGCTTGGGAGGTCTCTCTGGGGCTTCCACCGGCTCTGAGAGGGCTGGAGAGAAGAAGAGAGGGGATTTATATGCCTTTAAAGCTTTGGAAAACCTTGAAGGTTGCGATAGACCTGTAGTATTTTGGATCGTGTAGTATTTTTGACTTTTTATTTGAATTATCCAGAATATTTTATATTGTTTTGTTTATATTTGATAGAATATTTTTTATTTTTGTATTTAATTTGTTATTGTTAATTCTCTTTTCCACTTTTTTATTTTTGTATTTAATTTGTTATTGTTAATTCTCTTTTCCACTTTTTTAAAGTAATTTAAGTATTGTATTTTAATGTCCGATTACACTTCTGTGACATAATAATTTCCCAAATTGGGATCAATAAGGTATCTATCCATCTATCTACCCATCTACCCATCTATCCATCTATCCATCCATCTATCCATCTATCCATCTATCCATCTATCTACCCATCTATCCATCCATCTATCCATCCATCTATCCATCCATCTATCCATCCATCCATCCATCCATCCATCCATCTATCCATCTATCCATCTACCCATCCATCCATCCATCTATCCATCCATCCATCTATCCATCTATCCATCTATCCATCCATCTATCCATCCATCCATCTATCCATCTATCCATCTATCCATCCATCCATCTATCCATCTATCCATCTACCCATCCATCCATCCATCCATCTATCCATCTATCCATCTACCCATCTATCCATCTATCCAGCCATCTATCCATCCATCTATCCATCTATCCATCTATCCATCTATCCATCTATCCATCTATCCAGCCATCTATCCATCTATCCATCTACCCATCTATCCATCTACCCATCTACCCATCTACCCATCCATCCATCTACCCATCCATCCATCTATCTATCTATCTATCTACCCACCCACCTACCCATCCATCTACCCATCCATCCATCCATCCATCTATCCATCCATCCACCCATCTATCCATCCATCCATCCATCTATCCATCCATCCATCTATCCATCCATCTACCCATCCATCTATCCATCTATCCATCCATCCATCTATCCATCCATCCATCCATCCATCCATCTATCCATCCATCCATCCATCCATCTATCCATCTATCCATCTATCCATCCATCTATC